TGTAATTAATTTCCCCCTCAATGCTTCACTTTTGTTTAATAATTAAACAGAGAGTGGTTAATTCTCTCCTCGCACTGCTTTAATGGAATAGGCGTGTCTCGGGTGACTAACAAAACAGCGCAGACCTCACACACAAAGTTTCGGGGAGTTGTCTGTTGACACCTGATACCGCTCCCCCTCCCAAAACCACCACGTCCCCGCCTCTCTACTCTTTATAGTCCACCCTGTCACTTACTTCCTCCCCCCTGCCCTTTTCGCACCCCATCCATTGCACATCATCTGCGTTATGATCAGGCGTCCCCTTTAGACGCCTGTTTGCCGAAGGCCAACCTGCCGTCTGGGGTCCTCAGGGAGTTCTGGAAGGAGCCCAAGGCAGGGGCCACCGTGGTTAGCCCTGGACTGCTACTTTTAGCCTGTTTAACTGTCTCACCTCACCTGTTGTCACGTACTTATTTAGCTTTGAGGAAAAAGTGATAACTGTGTTGTTGATGTTTTTGAGGGGCACGCTGCAAAATGACAGAATGTGATTGTATTTGAAAGAAGCAACAATCCACATGTAAATGAAACCACGCGCTGTATGAAGACTTGATCTGACGTGATGACTGAAATCTTCCAGTCTGTTGGCTAGTGGAGGAAGCGGGAGGGGCGGGGGTGGCAACGGGGTTTGCTGACCTCTGGGAACATTGCAGGATTTAAATGTATGACCACTAGAAGAAAAACGTAAAAAACATTTTTGGGGAGTCTGAAAAAAGAAAGGGGAAAAAAGACCCTTTTAGTCGTAGCCCTTTTCCTCTGGTGCACTGGGAGAGGCCCTGAGTATGGCAGCTGTCCCACTCTGTGCATGTGTGCGTGCATGTGTGATCGAGAGGGAGAGAGAAAGAGAGCGAGAGAGGAGGAAAGGCATCGGGTTGCACCCCTCTTTCACCCCTACAACCCCATACAGACACATTCACACAAAGTTACATGCAGCAGCAGTAGCTAAAAACGAGCACAGCCCAACCCTGATTGCGAAGATTGCACTGGCGTCATAGAGAGTCTGCCCGGTGACAAGACATGTGGACTGATGGCAGGGGTGCAGAGTGTAACAGCTACCCACTGGCATCCTCTCGTAGGCTGGCATCCTGGTTGTGGCACCGAGGAGCACTTCAATTTCAGCTTAGTGTACAGTGGTTCTCGTAGGATTTATGTTTAGTTGACAGCTGAGACGTTCAGACTCCTTGTCACCTACATCTGAGTTTCACTGAGGGAAGAAGGTTATTGGAACACTTAAACCAAAACCAAAAATAGTATTTTTTTTATTTGCTGAGTGTCATGAGGATTAAAAGTGGAAGTTAAGTTTTGCAATAAGTTAAATCTGAACTTGTTTTTTCAACTGCCAGACTAACACTGTATCCTTCTCCCAAGTGGAGATTTGTATTTTTCTAACTTGTTCAATGAGAAATATATAGTTAATTAATAAAATATGAAAATGATAATAATGATAGGCTTTCTTCATATTCAGGTAATATAATAGCCTTCCAGAGAACCAATAAAACGTCAGTAAACAATCAGTTTGGAGTAAGGTTCTACCACAGGTACATAAAAAAAAATACACCGGTTAGGATATTCTGATGTTAGCGCTGACCAGCAAGTAGCAGAAGCAGCTCTGTCAGAATGTTGTCATACTTAGGCTGCACAAATTACAATGTTTCACAGTTCTGAAATAGTAAAACAAAACTTACAAGTACTACAGTACTACAGCAAAACAGCAAGTGTTCGTATGCTGTTTTGATTCACACACTTTTTTAAGTGTGTTATTGAAGCTAATCCTGAGCAACATCAGTGGATGTTTACAAGAATTTTCCCCAAAATGATCATTTTAGGCATGTTTACAAGAATTTTCCCCAAAATGATAATTTGCAGCTGCTGCTGCAATAGAGCCCATAATGGTTGCAGTGTAAATGTACACCTGTGGTAGCACTAGACAATTAAGGACAATTATCCAATCAAAAGCCCTGTAGTTCCAAACAACATTTAGTTAAATGTCCCTGCTTCACTGGCTGAAATTGTAAGTTGTGTCCTTTTCCTGATTCAAAACTTAGCGAAATCATCCCACATGAAAACCTGAGACAAATGACCACAGTCTCGTGAAACGACTTAACAACCAAAACATCTGCCTTTCAATAACACTGTTTCAGTTCTTGCATTGATTCAAATCATTTGTTACTCGTACAACGGGGAGCTGAGTGAGAGAGAAAGTGGCCAGAGAAAAAGTCAGCTAGGTGTGAGGTCAGCAGGTCACAGACGGGCTGTGAGCCGATCACAGACTGACAGAGTCCACACACCCCCAAACAGACTGGAGAATCCATCTAGAAACCCAGAGAAAACCGGCGTGGGCTTTGTAGAAAAACACTCCAGACAGGAAACCACATGATACGTGTGCATGGGTGTCTGCTATGTGTGTGTGCGCACGTGTGTGTAGGTGTTTCTTTCTCTGTTATACACATATACGTTCAGCGGTGTAGGACAGCTGAGGTCATCTGAGTGGAGGGCCTTCTGACCATCAGGTTTACAGCACGTCAATCACAGACACAAAGAGACTTCAGTTATTCATCGAGCTGGAAATCCAACATTATTAAAACCGGCCATTACGCTGAATTCAACCACATCCAAATTATCATTAGCTAAGCAGAAGTCCTGGATTGTAAAGCATTTGATTCTTTGTTCTCCAGCAACTT